CCTCTCCGGTGTTGACTGAATTGGGAACTATCCCTAAAGGATTTTCCACATTCACTGCACTCATAAGGCCTTTCTCCAGTGTGAACTCTCTGATGATAACGGAGTTTGGAGCTAGAGATAAAAGATTTCCCACATTCACTGCACTCATAAGGCCTATCTCCCGTGTGAACTCTCTGATGGTAACGGAGGGTGGAACTAGAGGTAAAAGATTTTCCACACTCACTGCACTCATAAGGCCTTTTTCCTGCATGAACTCTCAGATGATAAGAGAGGGTGGCACTACTGGTAAAAGATTTCCCACACTCACTGCACACATAAGGCCTTTCTCCTGTGTGAACTCTCTGGTGTCGAATCAGTATTGAGCTATTAGTAAAAGATTTTCCACATTCACCGCACTGATAAGGCCTTTCTCCTGAGTGAACTCTCTGATGATAACCAAGCCCAGACACAGAGGTAAAAGATTTCCCACATTCACTGCACTCATAAGACCTTTCTCTATTATGAATTTTCAGGTGTATTGAGAGGGAAGATTTTTGGCTAAAGGATTTCCCACATTCATTACACTCATAAGGCCTTTCTCCAGTGTGAGCTCTCTGGTGTTTATTGAATTGTGATCTATCCTTAAAAGTTTTGCCACATTCACTACACTCATAAGGCCTTTCTCCAGTGTGAACTCTGTGATGATAACGGAGGCCTGAGCTAGAGGTGAAAGATTTCCCACATTCACTGCACTCATAAGGCCTATCTCCTGTGTGTACTCTCTGATGATAACGAAGGGTGGAGCTAGAAGTAAAAGATTTCCCACATTCACTGCATTTGTAAGGCCTTTTTCCCGCATGAGCTCTCTGATGATAACAGAGGGTAGAGCTACAGGTAAAAGATTTCCCACATTCACTGCACACATAAGGCTTTTCTCCTGTGTGAACTCTCTGGTGTTGAATGAGCGTCCACCTATTGTTAAAAGATTTTCCACAATCACTACACTTATAAGGCCTTTCTCCTGTGTGAACTCTCTGGTGTAAAGTGAGGTTATTTCTTCGGATAAAAGATTTCCCACATTCGCTACACTCATAAGGCCTTTCTCCAGAATGAACTCTCTGATGATAATGGAGGTCAGACTTAGAGATAAAAGATTTCCCACATTCATTGCACTCATAAGGCCTCTCTCCTGTGTGGGCTCTCTGATGATAATGGAGGGCAGAGCTAGTGGTAAAAGATTTCCCACATTCACTGCACTCATAAGGCCTTTCTCCCAGGTGACCTCGCTCATGATACTGCAGGGTGGAACTACAGGTAAAAGATTTCCCACATTTACTGCACACATAAGGCTTTTCTCCAGTGTGAATTCTCCGGTGTCGAATGAGTGTCCACCTATCGTTAAAAGATTTCCCACATTCACTGCACTCATAAGGCCTTTCTCCTGTGTGCACTCTGTGGTGATAACGAAGGCTGGAGCTAAAGGTAAAAGATTTTCCACATTCAGTGCACCCATAAGGCCTTTCTCCTGAGTGAACTCTCAGATGTATAATGAGGTTATTTCTTCGGGTAAAGGACTTCCCACATTCATTACACTCAAAAGGCCTTTCTCCAGTGTGAACTCTGTGATGATAACGGAGCGCAGTACGAGTGATAAAAGATTTCCCACATTCACTGCACTTGTGAGGCCTTTCTCCAGAATGAACTCTCTGATGATAACGGAGGTCAGACCTAGAAATAAAAGATTTCCCACAATCACTGCACTCATAAGGCCTATCTCCTGTGTGAGATCTCCGATGATAACTGAGGGCAGAGCTAGAGGTAAAGGATTTCGCACAGTCACTACATTTATAAGGCCTCTCTCCAATTTGAACTCTCCTGTGTTGAATGCACACCGAGCTATGGCTAAAACATTTTGTGCATTCACTGCACACATAACTCTTTTCCCCATTTTGCCATCTTTGGGGATGAATGAGGACAGATTGGTGGCTTAAGGATTTCCCACATTTGCTGCACTCATATGGCCTTGTCCCAGTATGAATTCTTCGATGTTGATTGAGGGTTGAACTTTGCCTAAAAGATTTGCCACATTCTCCACACACATGAAGCCTTTCTCCAGTGTGGACTCTCTGGTGCACAACAAATGAGGATTTGTACCTGAATGTTTTCCCACATTCATGGCATGTAAAACACTGTCTTTTAGCGTGGACACCCTGGTCCTGAACAAGTGTGCGTTTGGGGCTGAAGGCTTTCTTGCATTCTCCCCAGGTGTAATGACTTTTTCTGCCTGGTAAAGTGGCTCCACACTGTGTGATTTTGCTTGGCTTCTCCCTGGTATGAGTGGCTTGTTGCTGCTGATGTCCCAAGCTGCCCAGGAAGTCCTTCCCAACCTCCCCCCAAGGAAAGGGCTTCCCTGACACGTGGAATCTGCAGCTCTTCACAAACAAGGCCTTGTCTACACTGCTTCTGAGGGGTTTCTCTCCCATGTGCTGCTCCTGGTGCTGCTGAAAGTTTGCACTGAAATAAAACCGTTTTGTACAAGCCCCACACCTCAACAGTTTCAGGCTGTGTTGTGTTCCGTGCTGCTGAGCCCAGTGGAAAATCTCTCTCAAGACTGGACCACACATCTCCCAGGGGTGGGTCTTCTGGGAAGATGGAGCTCCCTTGGGAGTCCTGGCAGGTGAAACTTCTACAGAAATGCTCTGCTCACAAGGAGCCTCCACATCTTCTGCTCCACAGCAGCAACCTGAATGCAAAGAAACCTTGGTGAAGTACATGTTGACTACAGGGAGGGGCAACCCCATCACAAATGTGCATCTGTCTCATCTCACAATGAATCTATGGGATGCTTCTCAAGACAAGGGAGTTGGAATCCAGCTGAAGGGGCAGTTGGCTGCTCTACATTACTGGGCCCTTAAGGTCACAGATTGCTGGAGACCTCACCAGGGGAAGGATAGAAAGACACAGAGTGACATAAGGAAGAGAAGCAGAGTCTACACATTGTTCTCTGCCCACAACTTCCTGCAGGACTTTTTCTGTTGCTGATGTGAGGCTCAGTAGAAGATGTGTCCAAGCCCAGGAAAATCCAATCACAACAAATTAGCAGCTGCTCAAGGTCAATGTAAGGATATGTTTACACTTCACAGCCCAACATGTGAGGGCCAATGGTGGAGAGCACTGCAGAAGGAGTGTTAAGTGTTTACAGACATGGACCACAGGTGCCTGCCTTGCAGAAGACACTAGCAGCTTTCACACTAAGGTAACTAATAGTTATTGCCATGGGAAACCTGCCAGAGAAAAACTTGCTGAGTTGTGCCCCCTCACGAAAGAAGGAGCTATTGCTTCATCCCAGGACCAGGACTGCCACCTCTCTCAACTGTACACGCTGCAGACACCAGAGCCCCAAGTGCTCCATAGATGCTCATACTCCATAACCTGACTCCATGGCTATCACTCGAGCACCTGTACCTCAGGCACCAGAGCCATGGCTGCTGTGGGCAAGCCAGCTCCTCAGACCCCAGAGACACTGTCTCTCTGTGTTCACCCATGCTCTGGTCACACACTCCATTACTGCTCAGGGTGTGACTGCATCTTACACAGTGAAATCAATGCCACTGCAAGCTACTCAGAATCTGGGACCCTAGAACTGCTATTGCTCCACGTCTGTTCACACCCTAGAATCCAGATCCCTACCTGCACCACAGGTGCCTGCGCATCAGACACCAATATCACCACCATCAGGAAGGCACCCAAAAGCCAGACTTGCCATCAAGAGGGACCCCTCAGTCAAAAACTTTCTCATGGGAGAAAGAGATCATGAGTTCCCTAGCAGCATTCTCCACTGCTGTTGACACCCACAGCCCTAACTGTTGGGGACCCCTGCAATCTTCGCTGATGCTGACCTCAGGTGACAGAGCTATGCAGACATTAAGCTGCTGAGACGTTTTGTAGTAGCAACCACCACACCCCAACAAGATGGTAAACTTGCACCCTCACACAGGTGAAGAGCTCCTGCACCAAAACCTTTCCATAAAGTCTGGAAGAAGTGACTGCTTCATGAAATGTACAGACATCAACAAAAGGCTACAAGAAACACAGAAATCCAGAAAACATGACACCCCAAAGGAACACAATAACTTACCACTCACTTAAAAAATGCAAACCTATGAAGTGTCAAAGAATTCAAAATAACTGTTTTAAGGAAGCTCAGCAAGCTACAGGAAAACAGACATAGACAATTCAACAATATAAGGAAAACAATATGCAAACAAAATGAAACTTTCAACACAAAGACAGGAAATATAAAAAAGAACCAAACAGAAATGATGGTGCTGAAGACTATAATGAATGAAAAAATGCAATAGAGAGCATCAATAGCCAACTTGATCAATCAGAAGAATGAATCAGAAACTGAAGGTAGGTCTTTTGAAATCATCCAGTGAAAGAAGAAAAAAGACCAAAGAACTAGAATGAAGAGGGCCGGCCCCGTGGCTTAGCGGTTAAGTGCGCGCACTCCGATGCTGGCGGCCAGGGTTCAGATTCCGGGCGCGCACCGACGCACCGCTTCTCCGGCCATGCTGAGGCCGCGTCCCACGTACAGCAACTAGAATGATGTGCAACTATGACATACAACTATCTACTGGGGCTTTGAGGGAAATAAATAAATAAAAAAAAAAAAGAATGAAGAAAGCCTACATGAATTACAGGATATCATGAAACAAAACAATATTTGCATTATGGCAGCCCATAGGAGAAGAGAGAGAGAAAGGGGCCTAAATCTTATTGAAAGAAATAATGGCTGTAAACTTCCAAAAGAAGTGGACATCCAAGTACATGAGGCTTATAAGTCTCCTTACAGATTCAATCCAAAAAAGACTTCACCAAGACATATAATAAAACTTAAGTGATGACAAACAAAATTCTGAGAACTGCAAGAGAAAAGAAACTCAATGTATATAAGGGAACCCTCATAAGGATATGAGCAATTTTCTTTGCTGAAATACTGCATACCAGGAGAGAGTGGGATTATGTTCTAAATGCTGAAAGAAAAAAACTGCAAACCCATAATACTTTACCAGCAAAGCTGCCCTTCAGACATGGAGAAGAGAAAAAGACTCTTCCAGACAAACAGAAGCTGAGGAAGTTCATCACCACCTAACCTACCCTACAAGAAATGCTAAGGGGAGTTTCTCAAGGTGAAATGAAAGTACACTAATTAGTAACATGAAAATACAAAACACAGTGCTAAAGTATACAGTCACACTCAGAATATTCTAATGCTGTAATAGTGTGTTAATCACTCAACTGTAGTATAAAGGATAAAAGATAAATAGTATAAAAAATAACTATACCCACAATTGTTTGTTAATGGTTACACAATATCAAAAGATGTAAGTTGTGACATGAAAAACAAAATTTGTGTGTGAGGGAGTTAAACAGTAGAGTTTTTGTATGTCGTCAAACTTAAGTTATTATCAGTTTAAAATAGAATGCTATAACTATAAGATGTTTTATAGAAGCCTGACAGTAACCACAAAGCAAAAGCCTATAGCAGATACACAAAAGAGAAAGAGAAAGGAATGAAAGCATACCACCATGGGAAATCATAAAGGAAGACAGCAAGAGAGGAAGAAAGGAACCAAGGAACTACAAAACAGCCAGACAATATTTAACAAAATGGCAATAGTAGGTCCTAGTAAAACTGTCCAATCAAAAAACATACAGTGGCTAAACAGAAAAGAAAACAAGATCCAACTACATACTACCTACAATAGAGTAACTTGAGATTTCATGACACACACGGGCTGAAAGTGAAGAGATTGAAAGAGATATTCAAGGCAAATGGAAACCAGAGAGCAGGGGTAGCTATACTTATGAGATAAAATAGACTTTACGCAGCCGGCCTGGTGGCGTAGTAGTTAAGTTCGTGTGCTCCACTTCAGCGCCCCGGGGTTCACAGAATCAGATCCTGCGCGCAGACTTATGCACCACTTAGCAAGCCATGCTATGGCTGGCATCCCACATATAAAAATAGAAGGAGATGGGCACACCTGTTAGCTCAGGGCCAATCTTCCTCAGGAAAAAAGGATTGGCAACGGATGTTAGCTCAGGGCTAATCTTCCTCAATAACAAGAAAATAGACTTTAGGGGCCGGCCTGGTGGTGCAGCGGTTAAGTGCGCATGCTCAGCTGCGGCAGCCTGGGGTTCGCAGGTTCGGATGCCAGGTGCGCACCAACGCACCGCTTGTTAAGCCATGCTGTGGCGGCATCCCATACAAAGTAGAGGAAGATGGGCAGGGATGTTAGCCCAGGGCTAGTTCTCCTCACAAAAAAAAAAAAAAAAAAAATAGACTTTATGTCAGAAACTGTCATAAGAGACAAGGAAGGTCATTATATAATGACAAAAGAGTCGATTCATCAAGAGGATGTAACAACTGTATATATATATGCACCACACATCAGAGCATCTAAATTAAGTATTAAGCAAATACAAACAGATCTGAAGGCAGAAAAGACAGCAATGGAATATTCAGAGGGAACTTCAATATCGCGCTTTCAATGATGGGTGGATATCCCGACAGAAAATTAATAAGGATATATAAATTGAATGACACTTTAGTTCAAATAGATCTAACAGACATATACAGAACATTCTACCCTACTACAGCAGAATACACATTCTTCTTAAGTCCATACAGAATATTCTCTAGGGCAGATCATATGTAATGTCAAACAAGTCTTAAGAAATTCTGAAGACAGAAATACTATCAAGTTTGTTTTCCTAACACAATAGATAAAACTGGAAATCAGTAAGAGGATGAAAGCTGAAAAATTCACAAATATCTGGATATTAAACAACACACTCTTAACCAATCAATTGGTCAAAGGAAAAATCAAAAGGAAACTCAAAAAACGTCTTGAGACAAACGAGAATAAAAACAAAACATATGGAATGGGAAAAAGCAGTTCTAAGAGCAAAGTTTAGAGTGATAAATGCCAGCATTAATAAAAAAGAAAGATCTCAAATAAACAACCTAACTTTACACTTCAATTAGAAAAAGAGAAAACTAAGACCAAAGTTAGCAGAACAAAGAACAAACCAAAGATCAAAGCAGAAATAAAAAAACTACAAAAACAATGGAAAGATGAACAATACTAAGAGCTAGTTTTTTGAGAAGACAAGCAAAACTGACAAACCTTTAGCCACACTAACTTAGAATAGAGAAAACTCAAATAAGTGACCTCAGAAATAAAAGAGGAATTACAACCGACAGTACAAGAACAGAAACGATCATAAGACTACTGTGGACTGCTATATGCCAACAAATTAGATAACCTAGAAGAAATAGATAATTCCTAGAAACATACAACCTACCAACACTGAATCACAAAGAAACAGAAAATCTGAATAGAAAAATAACACAGAAGGAAATTGAATCAGTAATCAAAAATCTCCCAACAAAGAAAAGGCCACAAACAGATAGATTCACTGATGAATTCTATCAACGTTTTAAGAAAGATTAACATCAATTTTTCTCAAACTCTTCCAAAAATTTGAAGATGAAAGAACATTTCCAAGGTCATTTTAGGAGGCCAGCATTAACCTGATACCAAAGCCAGACAAGGAAACTACCAAAGATTACAGGCCAACATCCCTGATGATCACAGATGTGAAAAAACTCAACAAAATACTAGGAAATCAAATTCAACAGCACATGAAAAGAATCATAAACTGTGGGACTAAGTGGGACTTATCCATCCTTGGGATGCAAGGATGTTCATCAAAAGCAAATCAATAAATGTGCTACACCACATTAACAGAATGAGGAATAAAAACTACATGATCATCTCAGTAGATGCAGACAAGGCTTTTGACAAGATCCAACATCCATTTATGATAAAATCTCTCAAAAAATTAGGTATAGAAGGAATGTACCTCAATGTCAAAAAGTCTATATAAGATAAGCCCACAGCTACCAGCAGATTCAACAGTGAAAAGGTAAAAGCTCTCCTCTAAGATAAGGAACAAGACAAGGATACACACCCTCACCACTGCTATTTAAAATAGTACTTAGAGGGCCGGCCCTGTGGCTTGGTGGTTAAGTGTGCGCGCTGCGATGCTGGCGGCCCGGGTTCGGATCCCGGGTGCGCATCGAGGCACCACTTCTCCGTTCATCCTGAGGCCGAGTCCCACATGCAGCAACTAGAAGGATGTGCAGCTACGACACACAACTATCCACTGGGGCTTTGGGGAGAAAAAATAAAATAAATAAAATCTTTAAAATAGTACTTAGAAGTCCAAGCCAGAGCAATAAGGCAAGAAAAACAACTGAAAGGTATCCAAATCAGAAAAAAGAAAGTAAAACTGTTTTTGCAAATCACATGATCTTATATAAAGAAAACCATAAACACTCCACTAAAAAACTGTCAGAATGAATAAATGAACTCTGTAAATTTGTAGAACAAAATAAATGTACAAAAATCAGTTGTGTCTATATGCTAACAATAAAAGACTTCAATGAGAAATTAAGAAATCAATCTCATTTACAACAGCATTAAAGACAATAAAATACTTCGGAGTAAATTTAACCAAGGAAGTAAAAGATCTGTATGCTAAAGAAAATACTTCGGAGTAAATTTAACCAAGGAAGTAAAAGATCTGTATGCTAAAGACTATAAGACACTGATGAGAGAAACTGAAGACACAAATAAATGGAAGGATATTCCATGTTCTTGGATTGGAATAATTATGAATGTTAAAATATCTCTGCTACCCAAAGCAACCTACAGGTTCAATATAATCTTTACCAAAATTCCAAAGACATTTTTACCAGAAATAGAAAAAGCATCCTAAAATTCGACCATAAATGACCTCGAATAGCCAAAGCAATCTTGATCAAGAAGATGAGAGTTAGAGGAATCACACTTCGTGATTCTAAACTATAGTACAAAAGACCTGTAATCAAAACAGTATGGTACCGAAATAAAAAGACACACAGACCTATGAAAAGGAACAAAGAGCCCAGAAATAAGCCCATGCGTATATGACAACTACTCTTTGACAAGGGTGCCAAGAATACACAATGGGGAAAGGAAAGTCTGGATATGCACATTTAAAAAAAATGAAACCAGGACCCTACCTTACACCACTCACAAAAAATAACTCGAAATGGATTAAAGACTTAAATCTAAGATGTGAAAATGTAAAACTCTTTGGGAAAAAACAGAGAAAAAGCTCCCTGATACTGATTTTGGCAAGGATTTTTTCAATATGACACCAAAAGAACAGGCAGCAAAGGCAAAAATAAACAAGTCAGGCTACGTCAAACTAAAAAGCTTCTGAATAGCAACGGAAGTGATCAACACGATGAAAAGGGAGAAAATATTTGCAAATATTGTATCTCATAAGGGGTTAATATCTAAAATATACAAAGTACTCATAGAGCTCAATAGCAAAAGAACAATCCAATTAAAAAATGGGCAAAGGACCTGAACAGACACTGTATGAAAGAAGACCTACAGATGGCCAGCAGGTATATGAAAAAATACTCTTCCTCACTAATCATCAGGAAAATACAAATCAAAACCACAGTAAGATATCACCTCACACCTGATAAAATGGCTACCATCAAAAAGAGCAGAGATAAATGTTGGTGAGGGTGAGATGTAAGTAAGGGAACCGTCGTTCACTGTGGTTGGAACGTAAAAAAGAACCGAAATCATAGAAACACAGAGTAGAATGCCAGAAGCTAGGGCTGGGGGGAAATGGGGGAGATGTCGGTCAAAAGGTACAAACATTCAGTTTTAAGATGAATAAGTTCTGAATGTAACGTACAGCTTGGTGACTATAAACAAACACACAGAGACAGAGATTGGATTGGTGGTTACCAGAGGGGAAGGGGGAGGGAGGAGGGCGAAGGGGATAGTTCAGCACACGTGTGTGGTGATGGGTTGTAATTAGTATTTGAGTGGTGAGCATGACATAATCTATGCAAAAACAGAAGTATAACAACGTATGCCTGAAATTTATACAATGTTATAAACCAATGTTACTGGAATAAACAAAAAATTAAAAAAAAATGTACAGCATGGTAACTATAGTTAATAATACTGTATTGTATGCTTGAAATTTACTGAGTAGATCTTAAGCATTCTTAGCAAAAACATAATAATGATAATAAGGTACATTTAAGAGGTGATGGATGTTTAATTAACTTCATTGTAGCAATTATTTCACAATGTATACAGACATCAAACCATCACGTTGTACATTTTAACATACAGGCAGCCTCCATACCCCCGGGTTTCACACCTCTGGTTTTTCTACCAAGGACGGATCAAATATATTTGAAAAAAGAAAATTCCAGAAAGTTCCAAAAAGCTAACCGTGATTTGCCACACACTGAAAACTACCCTGAATCCACATGAATAAAGCGATGTGTGGGCAGCTAGTGACACAGCACTTACACCGTATTAGGTATTAAAAGTAAGCTAGGGAAAAAAAAAAAAAAGTAAGCTAGAGATGATTGACAGTACACTGGAGGATGTGCACAGACTATATACAAAAACTATGCCATTTTACTGAAAGGACTTGAGCATCCTCAGATTTTGGTATCCATGGGGGGGTCCTGGAACCAGTCAATCCTACTGTGGATACCAATGGCCGTGTATACAATTTTATATCCAGACAAGACTGGAAAAAAAAGAAAAGAACACATCTAAACACTATAAACCATGCAGGAGAGCAGTGAAAAGCAGCCCATAGTTCAGGTTAGTAGTGACCACGACAATGCCTATGTGCCTGGCACAAGCAAGCATGAGGAAATGTCAGGGAAAACAAGAGAGAAAACCTGGGATACAGAAGTGATATGGATGTGGACACAGTGACCTGGAGAGAGGACAAGCACGGTGGAATCCATTAAGCTCCTGGAATCCTTTCTAAGAAGGTCCACACAGCAGGTATTGGGGCTGCAGGAGAGAGAAGAGGGCAGTGCAAACACCCTAGCCCTAGCAACACAGCAACGACCCAGAAAACTGAGGAAGCAAGCAGCGTCCATGGTCTTCATGAAGAAGGATTGAGCAGGAGTGTGTAGTGGGGAACACAGCCTAGTCCAGGTCACTGTGAGGCTGTGAGAGTCTTACCTAGTGAGGATATGAGTGCAAAGTTCTCCAGCATCACATCCAGGTACAGGCGTCTCTGAGCCTCATCAAGGAGCCTCCATTCCTCCCAGGAGAAGTACACAGCAACGTCCTCAAAGGTCACACAGTCCTGTTATGATTGGGACAGATGAAATCATCAACATTCTCTCTCTCTGAGATCCCATAATCCATCTCCCCACACATCTACTCCACACTCATCCTCCTCCAGAGCTCCCCACCTCAGAAGAATTCCGGCCTAGGTGTCACTGATCCCCACCTTATCCCCAGGGTCCCTTTATTCACTGTGTTCAGCCCTCAGAAACATCAGACAGCAGGGCACAGAGACGACATCCAAGCTCTGGTCCTAGCCTGTAGGGTCCCACCCATCCTGTAAATCAATTCCCCTGGAGTCTCCAGATTTGGACTCCAGGACACAGCCAAACTTGGGCCCGTGCTTCACCCTTCAGTCTCCAACACCATGGCCCTAGGGCCATCAGCTCACATGTCCTCTCCACGTACACATCATTCTGTAGATTGTACCTCTCTCAATTCTTCAGTGCCCACAGTTGCACTGTCACAGCTCTGTATTTAAGGAAATCCCCAAATGCTGCTTTGAAGGCATCCTCTATACCTCTGATCCTTGCTTCAATATTAGCCACCCAGAAGCACGTGTGAACTACAGATGCCCATGACCTACTTCCACTTCTGTGCTGCACTTCCTGTCTCCTCAGAGACCACAACCCTCCTCTCTCCACTCAACCTTACTTAAAACTCCAGCCCTGATGGTCTCTGTGCCAGGCACAGTGACTCTCACAAATGACCACATTCGCCTCACACCTCATCCACCATCAACACTGAACACCCCAGACCCCACTGAAGCTCACCACAAAATTCTGGTGAAGCAGTACATTAGTGAATGAGCAGGAGCCCTGGCCTCAGTGTGATCTTGTCTCAGTTACTCCTCTGTCTCCATAGCCATCTCATGTCCACTCATCCCACGGAAGCCTTAGTCACCTGCCAAACCATGCTCTCTCCCACACGGTCACCATGACCACTTCTCCCCTTCACCTGGGTTTGTGTGCAGCTCTGTACCTCATTAGGTGCAGACCAAGAAAACCACTTTTCATTGTGTATCCCCCTCTTTCTGACCAGCTAATAGCATTGTCATGACAACCTGCATTCCTCCACCTAAATGGGATGCACAGCTCCTTCCTGGTCCACACAATAGACAACACTTTTTGATGTCTCCATCCTGAACCCCTCCTCAGATTTCCAGACCTGTGTGTCCAGCTGCCCACTTTACGCCTCCAGTCACTGTTCTCTGAAACATCTCAGACTCCCCACAGGGCCAAAAAAACCCTTCTTATATTCCCAAGGAAAATGAATCTGTCATGAACTGCCACATCCCAGTTGGATCTTCCATCCCTACAACTACTAAGACCAGTGACATGCAGTCATCCTTGGCTCTTTTCCTCCTCTCCCTCACCTATAACATCCAGAAGTCTACCTGACCCTTCTTAAAAAAACAGTTCAACTTTTTGCCCACTTCTATGGCCACCACTCTGCTCCATCAACACTCATCTAAGTTATAGTTGCCTCCTCCTGGGCTCCCTGTGTCCTCCTTTAACCTCATAGTCTAGACTCCACTGTGCAGCCAGATGGAGCCTGTTAAACCTGGATAAGACCAACTCCTTCCTCTTATCCAAACCTCCCATTACCTCCCAAACAAATGCCAACTTCCCAGGCAGTCACATTACTGGTCTTTTTCTTGACCCCCTGCTCCTTGTTCTTAACAGAAAGAATGGAGACTGAATGTCCCCTGTCTCCAGCTCAGTTACATCTCCAAGCATTTGCACACACTGGGGTCTGTTCCAGGGATAACCTTTCACACGTGTTTACACCGTTTGCCAGAAATGGAAACAGCTCCATGTCACCCTTGGCCTCACTCAGGACCCTGCCTGGGCTTAAGGGTATCCCCAGGGTGCCAACACCCAAAAGCAAGGAAAATAGCAAGAGAAGAGGCTCAAGTCACCGAAATCCCTGACACAGGTGGTGTCAGGTCCACTGAGCGTCTGAGACACCCTCTCCTTTCCTGTGTAGGTTCCCTAAGTGATTTTTCTAGTATCAGAACCTGTGGCAAGAGGCAGACAACCATGGCTGGGCTAAATGTGCACAGGCCTCCCCTGTATCCCCGCCCAGCCCTGGAACTTGGTCACCTCGGGTTCACTTACTAATCTCCGTGCCTCAGTCCTCACAGCTGCCACTCACCAGCTCTGTGACCTTGGACGAGGACTCAGCTCCCTGTGCCTCACTGTCCTCATCACCCCCATTCCACTCTGTTCTCTCTCTGAGCAGCTTTTAGAAAACTTTTTAAACCCTAACGCACAGTGTCCCTCTTCTGTTCACAACCCTCCATGGCTTCCAGGGCCCTCGGATTGAAGGAACAGCCCCTAAGCCTCCAGTCCAAGCGACACTCCTCCTCACACTCTTCACTCCACACAGAACACGGACCCCGGGTCCCCGACTCCTCCCGGCTCAGTCGCCCTGACGCCTCTCCCCCGCGGGCCCTCCCCTGGGACCCTCTCCCACACCCGCCACCCCGGCTCTCAGAAACAGGCCCCACGAGCGCCTCCCCGTCCCGGACACCGGGGCCTGGGCTGCAGGCCCGTGAGCGGCGCCCGCACTCGGGGCTCTAGGGCTGGGCTGGGCTGAGGGCGGGGAGGGCGCGGAGCACAAGCACTGACCTGAGCCGGCTCCCTCCGCGCGGCCGCCGCCATGGGACTCTGGGGGCGGAGCGGGGCCGGGAGCGGCGGGAGAGGAGGGGACCCGGGCACGGCGGTCCCTGTCCCGGCCCTGGCGTGGGTCCCCCGGGCGGCGTCGCGGAGCCTCAGACCCACCCTCTGCTGCGCGTACAGCGCTTCCTTCTCGGTCCCGTCACCTCAGCCCCCGACCCAGCACTCAGCAGCCTCTGTTCGGGCGAATAGGCCCAGCAGCAGACAAAATGGTCGCCCCGGGAGGACGCCGGAAGTCCCGCCCCTGACTCATTGAATTCGCACGGAAATACTTTCACCCTGATCTTTCATTGGGTCAACTCTGCGCACGTTCTTTCGGGTAATGTAGTTCCCGGAGCTCTAGTGCCACAAGGAAGGCGGCCGTCCGAGGGATGCTTAAAAGTGGTGTTCCTGGCTAGAGGGGCCTTTGCTCCTTGTGAAATGCAGCGAAAAGACGTACTTTCATTCTCCGTGAAGCTTAGCCCGCTCCCAGAGCATAAAATTGTTAGAGATGCTCTCAAATCTACTGCTCTAAATGTCCATATCCTTCCATAGTCACTCAGACATAAAATGATTCCACGCATAGCTGGAGACATTATGTTATTCCTCTTCCAGTGCATCCAGCCTGGGGCATTAGCCAGTTTGTGAGTTTCACTATGGTTGGCTAGGAACAAGAGAGACCCTGAGGGCTATGAAGGGAAGGAAGAAGAGGGATGTTAGGCTGCCCTGAAACAGGTGGACAAGGAGGACCTCTGCCTCTGGTTCCCACAGAAAACTTCTGCCTTGCTTGTATAGTGATTGTGTTCTACCTATAGAGGAACAGTTTTGCCAACATAATATTTCTTACTCCATACCCTAAGACATACTCAATTCCATTTAGCAAACTGACTTCTATCTCAAACGGAGACCAACTTAGCTAATGCTGTTTTGGCTTGGGTCAGTGGTTGCAACTTGCAGTCGCAGTACGTCTGCAAAAGGAACATCTGAACCTCGAGATAAAAGGGACATCTGAACCCCATGATCTCTTCTCCTTGCTGATAAATGATGATCATTTTCCAGTGATTGCAGGTACAGTTCTGCATGGGGAATTGAGATTATCTCAGAAAAACTGTTTTGAAATGCAAATTTCAGAAAATTAGTAGTAATGTTTATGCAGTTTTATCACACAAAATTGGGGTTCTCTTGCCCGATGTGCATAAACAGCCAATTAATTACAGCATCAGCTTTTTGGGAGAAATCAGCTTTATTCTGTGAGCTCGATCTGCAGGGAGATGGGGCATGTGCCCTCAGTTCTGTCTCCTCAATTCAGGATTTGGGGTGAAATTTGAGAAGTTAGGGGGCCAGACAGGCTGGCATGCAGAAATGCTAGCGGGACAGGTTTTGACTGGTGGGATTCAAGCACTTATGGTAAGGTTTTAAACATTTATGACAGGGTTCTAAACATTTATGATGAGCTTCTGAACTTTTATGATAGGGTTCTAAACATTTTTGATGAGGTAGGGAAGGAATTTTAACACCGGATCTTCCTGAATGAGGGATCCCTCGCTTCTGATAAGAGTCCGACTTTCAAGTTCCAGTCCTGTCCTGGTCCTCGGGTTCCGTGGGGAGGAGGATCTTTGGTTCCTCAGTCATTTCAGGTCAAAATTTCTTCTTCTGCACATGCTCTGACTATGTGATTCTGCACATTATCTGAAA